GTACCAGATCCATCCATGCTTCCAGCTGCTTTGACCAGTGCTGCATCTTTTCCGGTCTTTTTTTTTGGATAATCTTTTTCACCTTTGCCTCTTGATGGCAATACTAGCGCAGTGGTTTCATCTGCTTTAATACTCTCATAAGAGAATTCTGATTGTTCTGATCAGCTGTTGTTTCATTGCTTCGATGCAGATAACCTCTGCGCATAATCTACATGTTTTCCGATTCTGTGCTTCATTTCTTCATTTTGGTGTCCATGTTTGGTCTGCATGCAGTAAGCAAACGAAGTTTCAGTGGTATGGCTATTAAGTACAGTATCCTTTGAAGGATTCCACTGGATGAAGATGAGTTTCAGGACCCTCGTCAGAAATGTTATTCAATCAGGCAAGCGGGAAAAAGGGCCCAGCTTACGACGTCTTTTGTCCCCCTTCTGAGTCACGCTGGTTCCGTTCAGTTCAATTCTTTACTGGACATGTTAGTTCAATGAGGCAAGCGAGAAACTCATAACCTAACTCGTAACTTTTCTCTCCTTCTAGACCGATGCTATGTTTACAGCTGTAAATTATTTGTGGAGAAGCGAAAAGCCGATGGCAAAATTATCGTTATTGTTAGCAATTTATCATAAAATAAGCAGTTGCTCATAGCTCTGCCATAAGTGCATCATCATCGTCCGGAGCGGGCGGGGAAGAGGAGGGGTTAACGGGTGCCATGAGCAATCTGGATTGGCCAGGAATATAAAGCAGAATTTAATAATAGGTCTCTGCCGCGGTGATCAATGGATCCTTCCGTTGCTACCAAAAAATATAAACAAATCCAGGAATGGCAGCGCGCTAGGCCAACGGCCACCACCCAGTTTTCCCGCACAGCACTTCAGTTCCTTTATACAGCACCGTTCCGGATGACAATCCTCACCGTCACCGACACCGACAAGACACACCATGTATGGCATGTATGTGCCTCAACAGCATTTTTAACAGCTTGAAAGCAAAATCGTGTATATAGTATTTTTATGCATGTGTGTCTTCAGGTATTTATTTGCATGTGTATTTATATATGCATGTGTCTGTGGGCATGTGCTTCGCATGTGTATGTATGTAGGTGTGTCTGTGTGTTTGAGTCCGTTTTGTGTATGTGATTAATGTCGTGACTATCGTTGGGTTTGGACAGCGTTACCAACCTCTTTTCTCCGCAGTAGCATTGATAATACTGTCGGTGACGACGGCAACGTTGGTAATATCAGTGTTTGCTACTCGCAGCGTTGCGCTTCCAAGCA